TATAAGGAAATTTATAAAGATCTTTTAACTAGCAGCAAGCAATCTAAAATTACATACTTTTTGCAAAAGGTAAAGCATGGATCTGAAGATAATGCAGAAAAATGCTCAGAGGATAAGGATAACTTGCCAAAAAGAAAACACTCTTGGTTAATAGTGCTTTTAGTGATGACGAAGAGAACATTGTTTAATTTATATTAATATGTATCACTTAAGAAAATTTTAATAAAGATATTTATCTTAATTATGAAAATATAATAGCATGTTTTTTAATTTCTGGAACCTAACCCTCCTTTTCGTACTAGTTCTTTGTTTTGTATAACATGGATTCGCATAACATGGCAATTTTTTGGAACGTAACTACCGTGTTATACAGGGGTTACCTGTAAATGAAAAAACAAGAAAGAAAATAAAATCAATATATGTATCCTGAAACAATAAAGTGTTACCTCATACTTCAAATGACTAACTTTGAATGCTTCAGAGTTCAAGTGTTAAATTTGACAAAAATTTGTTTTGGAGTTCAAATGATGCTTCAAAGTTCAAACTGTGCATGCACTGAAAAGGTGTTCTTGAGGCATAAACACAATCTGTTTTGCATCCAAGTTGTTTCTTGGCTTTCATTCTTTGCTTTTCCCACTTTATTTTTGGTGTATTTGGTTATATGGTTATATAACTTGTGTGTTATTTGTCTATTTTTAACAATTTCTTCCTGCAACTTTTCTTCGTCAACCCCTTTTGAGTGACCTGTACATTTTGTATTATTTAGTTTAGAATTTCCTGAACAGAACTGAATGTGATTTTTCAGCACATAGATGAGTCTAGAACTTTTTGTGCAATCTCAATTTTTTGTAGTAATTTTTAGAAATCATCTTTATATAATTATTATAGGTAAAAATTGATTTTTTTCACTTAATTTTCAATTTAAAGCCATCACTTTATGTATGTTTTTAATTCATAAACATAAATTAATAGGTTTATAAAAATAACTTTTAGTCAAGGATTTCTTCCACACCGGGTCATATACAACAAATGTGTGTAGTCTTCAACCAATATCCGGCATGAAAATTCCAAACTAATATTGGCAAACACTTTCGATGCCCCTCCTGGGCTCTTCTTCAGGCCAAATTTAATGTACTGGATTCTTAAATCGAATATTTTTAAATAAGAATGTGCTCTGTTACTAGAAGTTCAAATAAGGAAGGTAATCACGTGCCTTTCCGAATTATAATTTCTTTATAATTTATATTTGTGGAGATATGTTGTGTGCATTTAATAATGGAAATTTACAAAGCAGATCGCAAACTAACCTGCATCAATCTTAAAGAAGAAATGAATCTCTCAACAGCATGGCAGTATTTATTGGAGGATGAATCGTAATTTATTATACGATACACCAGATTATTATGGGATGCACACATCATATATCCAATAGTTAAAATTATTTTTAGAAACGGCACGTGATTATAAAATACGCGAGATTATTATTAAATGCGCACAACATATCTCCACAAATATAAATTATAAAGAAATTATAATTCGGAAAGGCACGTGATTACCTTCCTTATTTGAACTTCTAGTAACAGAGCACGTTCTTATTTAAAAATATTCAATTTAAGAATCCAGTACATTAAATTTGGCCTGAAGAAGAGCACAGGAGGGGCATCGAAAGCAGTTGTCAATATTAGTTTGGAATTTTCACGCCGGATATTGGTTGAAGACTACACATATTTGTAATAACTTTTAGTAAAATACAATACAATTTATTTTTAATACATTAATGCAATATTATTTTTCAGGTCAAACATCAGCTATTTGGCGATTACAAATTATTGATGATAATATAGAAGAATCAAGTGTTGAACAAATTCAACTTTATCTAACAAATCCTATTAATGCTGTTATTAGTAAAAAGGATATAACTTTAATCAGCATTCATGATAAAAGAGGAAGTAAGTATAATTTATTCTGTAATGTACAGTCATTAAAAATTTTTCTTTGCTTGTAAGTTTGTTTAAAGTTTTGTGAGCTTTGCATATTAATTTTGAGAAGTGTAAATTATGCAAAACAAAAAAAACATTAAACTTTAAACATTTTAAAATATGTTCCAATAAAATTTATATAAAATATTTCTTTTTACATTTTACATTTGAATATAAGCACATGAATTAATAATGCTCCTTCTGGCAAAACAGAAGACACCTATATATTCATCTGACTTTATTCAACTGTAGAATACAAAAGTTCATTTAACTTAAATTTTTAAAGCTACATAGGTTGCTTGGAAAGTTTTGTCCCCCAGATTTACTTTTTAGTCTTTCAAAATACTCTCCATTACACTCAACACATCTTGCCATACACCAAAACCAGGCCTTTCACTTTTCTTATGGGAGATCAGCATACAAGGTGTGTTCAAGAAGTATCAGACCTTTGGTCGGCAAAAATAAATTTATTGATTTTGATGTACAAAACCCTAATCACCTTCAAAGTAGTTTCCTTGGTAATGTATACACTTCTCCCAGCATTCCTGCCATTGCTGGAAACACTGCTGGAACGCATCTTTTGGAATGGCCATCAGCCAGTCCGTCGGATTTTGCACGATGTCTTCTCTTGACTAAATTCGGGTTCCTTTTAGCGGCATTTTCACCGTGGGAAATAGCCAAAAGTCACACGGAACCATGTCGGGAGAGTACGGAGCGTGACGAACCACAGGAGTGTTATGTTTGGCAACAAAAGCCCGAATCAGATGCGCAGAATGGGCAGATGCGTTATCATGATGGAGCTGCCAAGTTTTGATTGACCACAGATCCGGTCGTTTGCGTCGCACAGCATCGGAAAGACGACGAAGGACCTCCTGGTAGTACTCCTTTGCAATGGTTTGGCCTTGTGGAGCGTACTCACGACACACCACCCCACGAGAGTCGAAAAAACTGTCAACATGACCTTTGATATTGCTGCAGACCTGCCGCGCTTTTTTTTGCCTCGAGGATCGTCCCCGAAAGCCTGCTGAATCTTGCGAATGGTTTATGCTCGGGTATCGCCAAGGTTTTTGGCAAAATTTGATGTAATATCGCTGCTCACGTTGTTCAGTCATTTTCCAGCTTAGTGGAATCCGACGACAGCGCACTACATGACCTCACTCATAGGCCGATTGCCAATGACTGACGCTTCCTGCAGGCGGGAAAAAATTCAGGGCTGTGCATGACTGTCCCCTCCACAACTCCACCGAAGGAGGCCTCTCGCACATCATTGGTTTACGCAGAAAAAAAAAAAGATACTTTTTGAACAGACCTTGTATTCTTTATCCCACACTGTCAGAAGCTCATCACTGCTGAAAAGTTGCCTTCCTTTGAGACGTTTTTTGACTTCTGAAAATAGGTTAAAGTCACAGGAGCAAGATGTGGACTGTACAGAGGGTGATAAAAAACAGTTAGTTCAGACTTGATCAAATAGGTGACTGTATCATTTGACTGGTGCACAAGTATTATTGTGGTGTAGGAGCCATGTGTCAAGCTGGGATTTTGGTCAAATATTCCTGTTGTTGAATGACTTTTGGCAAACTTGTTTGGGTGAACCAGGAACTAGTGACTGTATGCTGTTTTTCTAGTAGGACCAAATCCACGATATTGCATTTTGCAAAGAATTCAGCAAGCATTCGTTTCTTTGTGGAATGTGATTTTCAGATCTCTACTGCAGTTGCTTCAACTTCAAAGAGCCAAACTTTGCTTTGAGATTTTGTTGGTGCATCGTTATAGTACAGCAAAGTCTCATCATCCATTATAATGCTGCTAACATCCTTGGATGTGCTAGACTCAAACTGTTTAATCATTTTTTTTTTACACCATTCTACTCTGTTGTACTTTTGTTTCTTTGTCAGTGAATGGGGCACCCAAAGCAAACAAACCTTTCTTAATTAATCCTAAATGCTTGTGCAGAATGTCATGAATAGATGATGCACTAATATTCAATAGTTCCTGAATTTGCTAATAGGTGATTAGCCTATCTTCACTGAGATGTTGCTCTACAGCAGTTATATTTTCTGATGTCACTGCTTCTGTTGACCTACGTGAACATGAGTGGGTTGTCCTCCATGCTAAAATTACTGCTTTTAAACTGTTTATACTACTGTGTAATGGTCTTTAGGGAAGGACAATGTTCCCCAAAATAGACGACACTTCTGAAAAACTCATCTTTTTAGGAGTATTAAGTACTGGGGTTGGATGTCACGCCAACAGTTATCTCAATCAAAACTTCTTCCAAAACTTCAGACTATGAGGCGTTAAATATAATTTAAAATATTTTATTTTATTCTTGCGAGCGCTTTCGACGTAAATATGCACGTCGTCTTCAGGCAATAGAAATTGAACAGAGAATTCGAACCATACATTTAAATTTAAACATTAACGATATTAGCCGTTTTTGAATATAACTATTATAAATAAGATTTAAATTTTAGAATTAAAAACATTTTAAAATATTTAAAATTGGTACGCATGCGTTTTAAAACAAATAAACTTCGATTGGAATGGCTATTAATTATTTTGTAAACGTGAAAAACTGGCGCGCGTGCACCTTAACATGCATAACATAAGAGCCAATTAGGGTGGCTATTAAGAACAAGTAAATTTTTACATTTTAAATTAAAATTAAAAACCCTTTGTAAATACGTATAAAATTTTTGGCACGCATGTGCTTTAACATAGACAGCATAGAAACCGAACAGAATAGATCCATAAGTGCTAGTTTACATTAATATTTAAATATTAAAGACTAAAGCATGGGACATAATTTAAAATACATAAAACATGTAAAAAGACGCACATAAAGAGGCCAACACGTATGCATTTTGAGTCATGTAGGCGGTGCGGGAAAAGAATGTAGTGCCTCCAAATACATCCATGTTAAAAATAGAGTCATACAGTCTCTCTTCCCTGCCACCACATTGCGCAGACCAAGGGATTGGACAACGCTCCGTCCCTCACTCCCATACTGTGGACGCTTCATGGCCCGGATCTGCCAGATCTTTAGGCAGAATGGCTTTTGTTTACCTATTGCTCCACGACCATGTCTGCGACGAATCTTATGTAATGATAGGGATACTATTTCCACCCTGGAAAAATCTAGTGGATACTCCGTTCCCCTGCAGAATCCAATATCAGGACTATGCACCAATTATATAGGAGCGACTACCAGAATGCTGGTTGCCCGCATATCTGAACACCAACGTTCGGTGGCACTTGGCAATTGCGACACGGAACTTTCCAAATTGGTGATACAACATCATCACATAGCGCTTTGAAGTCGGGTGGAAATACTCAAACGTTGTGATGAAGGGAGCTTGATATATATTTGGGAGGCCATCCTCACAAAACTGCTCTCCCTGTGCAACTCCCCTACTCTCAACTTACCGGACGTCTGGATTAATATATACAGGCAGTTAAAAAATCAACAATAATTTTACATTCTTTTCCCACACCGCCTACATGACTCAAAACGCATACGTGTCGGCCTCTTTATGTGCATCTTTTTATGTGTTTTATGTATTTTAAATTATGTCCCATGCTTTAGTCTTTAATATTTAAATATTAATGTAAACTAGCACTTATGGATCTATTCTGTTCGGTTTCTATGCTGTCTATGTTAAAGCACATGCGTGCCAAAAATTTTATATGTATTTACAAAGGGTTTTTAATTTTAATTTAAAATGTAAAAATTTACTTGTTCTTAATAGCCACCCTAATTGGCTCTTATGTTATGCATGTTAAGGTGCACGCGCGCCAGTTTTTCGCGTTTACAAAATAATTAATAGCCATTCCAATCGAAGTTTATTTGTTTTAAAACGCATGCATACCAATTTTAAATATTTTAAAATGTTTTTAATTCTAAAATTTAAATCTTATTTATAATAGTTATATTCAAAAACGGCTAATATCATTAATGTTTAAATTTAAATGTATGGTTCAAATTCTCTATTCGATTTTGAATTGCCTGAAGACGACGTGCATATTTACGTCGAAAGCGCTCGCAAGAATAAAATAAAATATTTTAAATTATATTTAACGCCTCATAGTCTGAAGTTTTGGAAGAAGTTTTGATTGAAACTCATCTTTACTGAGAATATGTAAAAAGTTGTAATAGATAATTGTCCAATATATGGTTTTCGTCCACACTGCCATTTTTTGGTATTTTTGCACTGCTTGCTGAGAAAGTACTGAAAACAGGAACTTGGTTCAGACTTTACTCCACCTATTTTTTTATGCTGTTTTGATTGATGAAAGACTCATTTTGTTAGGACCAATAGAAGATGTGTAGGACAAAAGTTTCTGAGCAATTTTTGTACTATATATATATGTATATACAGTAAATTACATATGTTAGATTATATATGTATGAACTAATTTTAATTGTTATTAATTTAGAAAAAATAAACGATTTAAAAGCATAAAACTTTTCTGAAAAATTATAGGTATTTCATACTTAAAATTTGTTTTTTGACAATATGGATAAAATAGATAATACAGATATATAACCTCAAATGAAGTTTTAAGTTTGATTAATTTTATATATTTATAACAAAATATAAAGATAACTATACAAAATATGACAATATTCAAATTCAAAAAAACAAACAGTAAACCTTTTACAACTTCAGCAATCTATTTAATTTACCAAAAATGTTTTCAATTTACTACTATAGGTCTTTTTCAGTTGGAGTATTAAAACTTAAATGAAAAAGAATAAAAAGAACATTCTAAAAACATTAAATGCAATGGAAATAATTCAAATTCAAATGAGACATAATAAAAATTACACAAAGTATGTAAAAAAATCTATAATAAAATGTAACATATGTAATGATGAAATATAACATAATAAAAAAATTATAAACTTTCAGTAATACAACTGGAGGTAAGCAAGAAAAAGAAGATATATGTTAAAGAAGATACTAAAGAATGTAAATGTTTGTGATACTAAAGAAGAAAAATTTTTGTAGTCACTATTATCCATGTCACATGTATAGTTATCCAAATTTTGTGCACTGAGAATATGTTTTATATAATTAAAATCAAATATTAATTTCAAAAACATCCATGATATCTTATGTGAGAAATATAACAATCACGATTATAGTTCATTAAACATCAAGATATGTGTTTTAATGAAACACACATCTTGATTAAATTGTAACACTTTATATATAGTGTGAACTGTATGTTATATTCTCCTATTATTATTTTCTTATTTTACAGATAACTGTCAAGAATTACCAGCACCAACAATTGTAAAAGTATCACAAGAAAAATTCAATGGGGATCAGGCTGATAATCCACAAAAATTTATTGAAAAAGATTTTGCAGTAAGTTAATATCCTGTATAAATAAATACACAATGTTTATTTCTCATTATAGTGGTGAAGTAAGCATGATTCATAGTTGATACCAATGCTAAATATATGCTGGACTAAAGTTAAGGGTCTATTAAAAATAACTGTTTGTGTACTATAATGTATGTATCTATATTTAAAAATTCCTGGCTAATGTGATATGGATTTAATGCTGTTACTTTCAGTAGAGTGATAAAAAGATCTAGTGTTTCTAGACTTAACATAGTGTATATGATATGGCAACTGTAGAAGATTAGTCTATAGACACAATAAATACATCCATTTTATTTGTTGAGTGACTTCTTTGTTCTTATTATTTTTACCAGTGTAGACATTTTCATTACTGTTTGTGTTTGAGATGAATATATACAAAGAGTGGTCATGAAGTCACTCTCAGATTAGAACATTTTACTGTGCCAAACCATTCTAACTAGGTAGAAACATGTGGTTCATGGCATAATTTAGACAGATTCCTAGAGATTTTTTTGCTGTAAAGTTGCACAAACTGAACAGTCCAAGTAGCAGTGCAACCATCAGTATCAAAATGATATCTTTGCAGGAGAAAGCCTAATTTGTTTTGTGATTTCATGAAATAAAATGACAATTCAGAAAAGTTTTGCTGAACTGTAATTTTATGATTTTTGTTATGCCTAGATTAGTTATATTATTTCTCTCTGGTATAGAAATTATAAAGTTTGAAGTTTCTCTACTTCTAAAATTTATTATTTTAAGCCAGTGGTTCGTAATCAGTATTCCATCAAAAAAAAAATTAAAGTTTTTATTGTAAATTTACTCCAATGTACTACAATATATTATCATATTCATAGATAATTTTATGTTTCTATTTTATTAAATATATTAAAGTTTACTAGTTTATTGCTTCATTCTTTCCTGAAAATAGTAGACATTGAATTGCTTATCAAGTTTTGAATATATGAGGGTTATTCAGAAAGTAAAGGCAATTTTAAAATTGTACAGTAAAAATAAGAAAATTATGCTGACACACAAGTGTGCATGGGCTGACTGCTAGCTTGCCTTGCCCAACATTTCATTTCATTGTTTAGTCAAATGGCAGTAAGCAATGAGGTTAGAACTATGAATACTCTACTTTGTGATTGCACCATCAAGGAACAATGTGCCGTAGTTTGTTTTCTGTGGGCATAGGGGGTTAAAACTGCAGAAATCCCTCTCTGAATGTTGGTACAGTATGGAGCATGCACCATGCATCGACAAAAGATTTACAAGTTAATACCACACTTTAAGGAAGAATAAGTGTAATGGATGAAAACCAAACTGATTTCACACATGGAACAACACATCCAGAGGGTCTTGTTCTGTGTGTGTTGATAGCACATATAGCAGAAATCATGAATATCAGTTATGGATCTGTACAAACCATAGTGCATGTAATGACTTGGGGTACCATAAAGTTTGTGTGCAGTGGATGCCCAAACAGCTTACAGCTCAGCATCTGTAGCAGTGTCCTGGTTTCTCCAACACTATGAAGAAGATCCTAATATCTTGGAACAAATCGTGACAGGCAACAAGACACAGATACACGACTACGATCTGGAGAGCAAGAGGCATTGAGTGGAAACATCTGTCATCCCTGTTTACAAGAAATTGAAACAACAACCATCTTGCAATAAGCTGATGCTAACACTCTTTTGGGATATGTGGGGACTTATTCTGATGGAGTTCCAGGCACATGGTGAGACTGTGAACAATACAACATATTGTGCTCTGTTTTAAGACCAATTGAAACCTGCAATTTGTCAAAAGCAATGCAGACTACTGTCCAAAGCAGTACTACTGTTACATGACAATGCACAGCCATATACAGCAACAGCATATATATAACTGCTTTGATTTGAATTGCTTCTGCATCCCCTTAAAGGCCTGAACTAGCACTGTATGATTACCACATCTTTAGTCCTTGAAGTAGACACTGTGGTCACAGGTTTAGCTCAGATGGTGAGGTCCAGCAAGCAGTGCAGATGTGACTTCGGGAGCAACTGAAATGCTTTTTTTCAGTAGGGATGAAGAAGTTCATTGAACAATTCCAGAAATGCATTACTATGCAGGGGGACTATGTAGAAAAGTGACATGTGCATTTGTTTTTCTAAGTGGAAATCAAGTAGTTATATGGAAATTGCCTTTACTTCCTGATCCACTCTTGTATTTATGTTAATGCTCCATGTAATAAAGAGTATATGAATGGTGTTCAATGGCCCCAGAAAAGTTAAGAACCAAGAAAGTGTTTTAAACAATAACTCTGTTATTTAATAAAATAGTTTGGAATTTTCTTACAAAGATTTATTTTAGAGGTGAGGGACAGTGATAGTGGTTTAGGACTTTGTACAGTCTAGTTTAGTTAGTTACAAGAAAATTTCATTGCTCTAAGGCCCACTAGTGGACAAGCAGTCTTCGTTCCCTGAACACTGGGAGTTCGGTCGTGGGTTCAAGCCTCATTTGGATGGGCTGGTCACGTGGCGTTTTTTGGGTTTTCTCCACATCTGTAATGTCTAAATTAAAGCCAGTTTTCCTTAAAAAGTCCTCTGGAAAGCATCCCCCTAGGCAGATCAACCAATATGCATTGCCATAACTAAACAAACAAACAAATCATTGCTCTAACATAAAAATGAATATTCTGAAAAACGTTAAATTTAGATAAATCATATATTTAGTTAAAAACTTTAGTGTGAAAAATAATTTTAATATTTGTATTTTTATTTGCAGAATTGTTCTCCTACCATCTTTGGACTTTTACAATACAATTATTCTACTGGAAAATTATATCAATGTAATGGTCACCAGTGGATACCATGGGAACCACGTCCACGTACAGATGAGGTCCAACCAGTTTCAAGAGAGATTTTAATTGATAATTCTATGAAAGATGAAAATTTAAAAAAGAATAGAACAAAATCAAATGATCCAAATTTGAATAATTTAAATTCTTTTGCCTGCCAAAAAGGTATTTTCATTTAAAAATATAATACTTTGTAAAATTTTTCGTCCGATGGAGATTATTATTTTTAAATAAAATTGAAGACAGTCTGCCCAAAAGGGACCACCATTTATTATTTCTGTGTTCCAGACAATACACATTCTTGGCAACAGACCTTTACTTGTAGGCTACTTGTTGCCAGAAGTTTAAAAAGTCCTTTTAAAAACACAAAAAATATATCTAATTAAAATTACAATAATTTCTAAAAAAGGAACTGGTGACATTCAGACGTCTTTCTTGCATCCATCATACCTTCATTTGGGGTGATACCGCTTTTATCTACTAAAAACAAGTCTGGAAAATGTAGATTTGATGAATTTTATTCTTCAATTTTATTTAAAAATAATACTTTGTATTTGAATAGAAATAACATTTGCACTTGGCACCATGTTTTAAATTATGAAAAATCTAAAATCAGGAACAAAACAAATTTTTTTTATTCAGAAATGTTTCATTCTTTTAAAAGAACACATCATCTGGGAAATTACAAAATGCTTTAGAATAAATACATTCATAAGAATATCATTACATTTGAATTTTACTTTCCTGGCTGTTATGTATACATAAAAAGGGAAAGTATTGGAATCATATCAAATTTGACCCTCCAAATTTTTTTTGCAAATCTCCACATTTTGAGGTTCCCTGAACCCAAAAAAGTAAAAAAGAAATGGCAAAAAAAATTCTGTGGATATGTATATATAGGTGTGTGTATTGGCATCTATTTTGTTTAATATCTCTGTATGGGGTAAAGATTGAGAAATGAAATTTGGCATAGTAGCTTGTGTATAAGAGGTATTAATGCTATTAAATTTTGTTGATGAAAGGTCATGGGGGGGAGATAGTGTGGTTGTGTGTCAGATCTTGCATGGGGAAGGCTTAATGAAGATTTTACATGTTGTAAGCATTTACAGATCTTTATAAAATGCATCTTTACCCTCAAAATTAAGTTCTTTGCTAATTTATAATAATTAAAAATATATAATTTTTTTATAACAAAATGTCATAATAGTTGGCACCACATAATTTTATTTATTTATTTATTTATGATTAATAAATAAATAGTGACTTTTAAAACAAAATCTCATAAACAGTGACTTCTAAAAAATCTCATAGAAGTTGCACAACTTGTTGCTAGATTTTTTTTAATGTAAAATTATCCATGCTTTATAATATTTCAGCTGGTGATACATTTTTGTTATTTTAAAAGTATATACAGTAGAGCGTTGTTTATCCGAAAGAATTCCAGTCGGCAAATTTAAATTTTTGCCAGTGCTGTGGTGCTGCAATCTTTGGCTATGTCTTGGGCTACTCAAATATTTTACGTTTTTGATACTAAATTAACTTCTGAAGTATAATTTTTTATTGTTTTTATATTTTTCAATATATTTATTTTGTTTGTAGTCACGATTATTATTTTATTATTACATTATTATTATTTTAAAAAGTTTACGTTAGGCTTAACATCGACGAAAATTCAACGCGAAGCAACACGCAACAGAGAAAATTTTCAACATGTGATAGGTTAATATATTTTTTTGTACATAATCGGTTATCCGAAATATCGATTTTCTGAACAACCCAAGTTCCCAATTGATTCGGATAAACGACGCTCTACTGTATAAGTTAATAAAAGAATTTGCTTTGTTCTTGAATTTAGCATTTTTCTCATCATTTTGTATTTGAATGCAAAAATTCTGAAATAGTTTCTATAGTTATAAATCATTCATGTGATTAAAACTTTCAAGTACAAAACAAAGTCAAACACTGCTACATACTGAACTTTATAAATACTTAGTGTACTTAAATAGAACAGTTGCTTTGAACATACTGTTTATTCTGTTTAAGAATGTTAAGTGACTATAACAAGAAGCCAAAACAAATTTTTTATCATCAAATCCATTAGATTAAATAATCTGATTTAAAAATAATTTTATATATGTCCAATGAACTTTTATTAGATACATAATCCTCTGAGAAGAAAATCTGAATGATCTTATCTAACAGTTAACTTACCATTATTATAAATAATGGTAAGCTAACTTTTAGATAAGTAAAAAAAAGTAACTTGTTCTAAATAATTTTGATTCCTTTTTATATAGATTTGTAATTTTTACAATATAATTTCAAAGAGTATGGGTTTCTAAGATTTGAGTTTGTAAAGGAAATAACGAGAAGATACCTAAGAAAGTATTTACATAAGCCAATGAAAATACTGTTACACCATTTTAGATAGGGTATCATGATTTGTGTCATGGTACTTCAAGTTTAATAATATATTGTAACTAATAATAGTTTAGAGAAAGTATTTTTCCAATATTTACAGTAATTCAAATTAGATAGATATGATGAGCATACTACATAAAAATATCAAATTATCAGAAGAAACTGACAAATTTTGTTATATTGCAATAGTCACATTAATACTGTATTGAAACATCTATTCAATTCTATTATATGAAATTTCTCAAGCGACTATAGTTTTGGTATTAAGAAAATAATAAACCTGAGTCAACTTAGATTAGGAACCAAGCCAGTCTTATATTCATCCAAAGTCATCACTTGTGTATGTATGGAATCTCTTGTAATATGTAAAAATTTTAATTTGAGATTAGTTTTTCTTTATTTCATCTCAACTGGATTCTATTTACTTAACAAAATTTTACATGTTATTCTTCCAGTTGGTTTTTAGGTCAGTTTGTCTTAATTAATTTCTACAAATAATAATTGCTGTGGAACTGTTTGGTTCTCACACAGAGCCCAGTTTATCCATCTATACAAGAAATTCCACACATGTACATACTAGTGATGACTTTGACTTTGGATGAATATGAGACTGGCTTTGTTCCTAGTGTAAGTTGACTCAGATTTATTATTCTCTTAATAATAATAATAAAATACAGTTAAAACAAAACTACAAAATCTTCAGGCAAAAACTATCATCAAACAGCACTTTTACAAACTTTTACAAAAGTCCTGTTGAAGAATTTGGAAATACAGTTGACCCCCCTATAACACTGTTGATAATTCCATTTTATATGAATTCCATGTTGTATGAGTCACTTAGATTTTACAAATACATGTGCTGGGCTGTGAATGGCTCATGTATTTTTAAAATCTAAGTGGCTCGTATAACATGGAATTCATATAAAACGGAATTATCAACAGTGTTATGGGGGGTCAACTGTATTCCTTTGATAATTAGATTTAAATGTATGGGATGGAGCTCCATTTCTGTAAATTGGTCTGTGCTCTTCAATAGTTGTTTATGCCTGAAGATAGACATTAAATATATCTGAAAATATTTGCATATGAAAATAAAAACTTTGTTGGAGAAATAAGGAGTAGAATTTTGTGAAAAACAACTGCTAATCATTAGTTTTATATATATAATAATAATGTGATTTTTTCATGATCTTATGAGCATTCTTTTTTATGCACTTGTATTAGATTTTTTACATTTTAAAAAGTAATGTACTGAAAAATGAGTAAAAACAATATTTGTACCTTTTAAAATGAAAATACAGTATTGTATTATTTATTATTATTATTATTATCTATTAATATGCAATAAGTTTAATATTTTTATAGGTTGGAAGGAGTATGAAAATAAATGCTATAAGTTATTTAAACAGCAGCTATCTTGGAATGAAGCTGAAATGTTCTGTCAGAATCAAAATCAAGGACACTTGGCTTCAGTTTTTTCAAATGAACATAATAAATGGCTAATAAAATTGACAAAAAATAGGCCATTTTGGATAGGTAAGGTTAAAGAGAGAGAAGAATATATTATTTACTCATTAAACCTTAGATATTATTACACAGGTCTGCAAAAAAAATTTTTTTCAGCTGCATGGGATATTTTTGCTGAATTATATGTTTTAAAGATTGTAGATTCTAAAAATGACTTCGGTAACATCCCATCACTTATAGGTTTTTTGCAAAATGAAAACAAATATTTTATAAAAACTCTCATTTATTACAATGAACTAAATATATTACATTTTCTTACAACTAATCAAAAAATTGTTTTTGATATTTATACACAATTTTAGGTCTACTCTTTTTTCTTATGATACCATTTCATTTCTTCTTTGATGCTTCTCCGAACTCGTTTCTGATTTCCTTCTCTGGTTTCTCAATTGAGCATCCAACAGTAGTCAGCTAATGTATTGGCATCCCATTTTCCTTGGTAACATCTCTCGATATCACAGACATCCTGGTGAAATCTTTCACCCTGTTCACTGAAAGCTCCCAAGTTTTCGGGAAAATAGTCGACATGGGAGTGTAAGATATGAACTTTTAAGCTCATCTTGCACCCTTGACTTACATATGCTGCCAGCATGCATTATACAATGGTTTTGTAGTCAGGGTCCTTTAGTATTCCCCAAAAACTTATGCACTACATTCTTGAAAGAGTCCCATTGTTTCCAAAAATCTGCTTTGTCTTGATCTCCAAGTTTCAATTTGAAATAGGCAAATTAAACTTTCTTCACAAACTCACTTGTGTTTCTTTGTTGACTTTTCACTGTGTATTCACCACAAACACAACAGAAGCTGTCGGAAGAAATTACACAACCTCCGCAAGCCATATTCCAGAAATAAAAATACAAGCACAGTAGTGTTCGAATGCTGGATATAAACTGTTAGATGGCCAGTGAGATACTGAACTTATTTAGCTTGTTGAAACATGATCTAATCCAACAGCAGGTTGTTTATATTTATTCCTAGTATCAAAACATGCTCAACCTCATCAGTAATATTACTCACTATCAACTTTTAACCTGTTTCTACATGATCATGCAACTTTCCTCCTAACACCAAAACTACTTAACCCATCTCCCTCTACCACTACTCTCTTCAACCATTAACATTTTATTTATTTATTGCCAAGTCCAGCTATAATTGATAGAGTTAATGTGAGAAGTCTTCGTTTTAAGGCCATTTTTTAAATAAAAAAAGAATACTAAATTTTAAGTTAACTAGGAATTTTATGCTAAATACAAAAAAAACTTGAGTGTAACAAAAAAAAATAGACGAAATGGAATTTTTTTGGTATTAATTTCATTTTTACCAAGTTGAAATCTATAAGAAAATGTATAAACATCCTATACAGTTTTTTACTTGCAGACCTGTATTATCAATGGAAAATTTGCTTAATAGATAATAAATTTAGTATTCTGATCCCATTTTAATTGTGTTAATAATTAAACAGAATTTAGCTTAATAACTTCTTTTCTAAATTCTCAGCAACTCTAACCAACAGTATTGCTTTAAATTATATTTCAGTGTAAAGTATCCTACTGTAATTTTTTACTAATAATCCATGTTTGAAAGTTGATCATGTTTTCTGCCAATTAAACTTGTAGTTATGAACTCATGTTCAGAAACAGAGAAAAATGTTTTAATTTTTCCTTTCTCTATAAACCTTACAAGTTTGAGAATTTCAATATAGCACTTATAATGTCCAAAGATTTTCAGTGATGATGACTTAATTTATTGTTACAAATGCATTTTGGCGTGATGTTCGTAACGAGAGGTACTTAATTCCATGAGCAAAATGGTACAAAAACACTTAATATTATTCACAGCATAAATTATTTTAATTCTCTCCAAACAGGTTCTTTACATCGGATCCTAACTTTACAACTTTATGAATTTTATATAAATATACTTGTCCTCCAAATAGTTAATTCACACATGTGCAACAATCAGACACTGGTTGTATTAACTTATACATTCAACCCCCCTATAACGCGGTAGATACATTCCACTTTATAAGAATTTCACATTGTAGGAATCCTTAAATACATGAGCCAATCACAGCCCAGCACGTGTGCAGTTTATGGACTACAGCTGTTTGAAAGGTTTTTCTTCCATAAAATTAATTGATTCTAGACTAATTTGACTCGAACATTTCCAAAACACATATAATTTTTTGGGAATAATCCCTATAAACTATGCTATAAACATGTAGAATTACTTATTGAGTGTGCACTGTTTGACGACACCATTGCTTAAGCTTGTTTTCGTCGCGGAGCAGCGCACCAAATGGCGAGCGCGTTTTCTGATAAGTTATTTTTCTGCAAAAAATTCGTTGAACTTTGGAATCATCATTAATAGAAATAATTTTTATGGCCGTTGAATAAGAAATGTATAAAATTGCAGTACTGTATTAGACTTACAGTACCTAATTTATATACTGTACAGACGATATTAAACTCAACTTACCCGCCTAAACTCTCCATAGCGTGTAAGTAATTCGGCTGCTTGTCCACCATTGGTCCAGATTCGATCATTCCTGTCGCAACACGAGTCAGCAATGACGTTTTACCGCATTTTACAAGTCTCTTTTAGCGTCTTTATACGAATATGGTCACAATTTTTTCGCCGCGATATACGAATCCGCATTATAGGGGGGTTGAATGTACTAACTTATAGCTATCTTAAAACTAAGGAAAATGGAAAAATAGAAGAAATAAGGAAGGATAAGGAAAGGAATAAAATTACCTGGGGTTTCTGTAGCGACGTGCTCTTGGGTAGGACACAACTTTTGATCTACCTCTTATTTGTGACCCTTTTCTTGTCGTAGACCTTTCATCTGTTTTTGACTTTGTCATCTTTTTTCAATGATCTCTTGGCAACTTGCAGTCTTCGATTGTCCTTCTCGAGTCCTGGAGCACTGCCTTTTTTTTCCTGCCTACCTCTTCAGGATTCTCACCCAGACTGACTCTTTTTCTGTCCGTTTGGCCCCAGGCCCCACTCCCTCTTTTGTTCTTATTTTCGTGGAAAAGATAATCCTACCCAAGGGCAAAAGGGTTAGAGAAGAAAGTTCTAGAAGGAATTCAGAACAAAGAAACAGGAAGAAAGGTTAGGATTAATTCAAAATAAATATACAAAATATACAATATCATGGCCGACGGCCACATTGGAATGATGTATATTTTTGTTCCTCCTTCAGTGCTAATTAATTTAATTGAAACTATTTTTAAAATTAATTTGCACTGAAGAGGGAATAAAAATATACATCATCCTGAAATACATTTGTTATAATAAATTAAAAGAATAAAAGTCCTACATCCAAAAGTTTTCAATGATGATAAGTGCTATATTGAAATTCTCAAGCTTACTTGTAAGCTTTACAGGGAAAAAGAAAGATAGAATTTCAGCACCCTTTATTCACATAAATGTTTTAATGTTTGAGATAGTATCTTCTACATTGCATACAAGGGTCAAATTGCAGCCAAGCATTGTGAAGATGTCACAATAAAATAATTGCTCTTATTTAAATTAATAAATTCTGAAAGTGAAGATCAGATGAAGGTCCAGGTAGCATAACTGACAACAAAACTACACTGTAAATGGGAGCTGCATGTTCAAGTCTTGCTTTAGGGCCAATTCTTTTCTTCCAGAATCTTCTAAATTATTAAATTTAGCAAGAGATGGGACCTAATACCTGCCTTTAGTACCAAATTACTTAGCATTTAATTCATAATAGTAGAAGTAATATAATTTGGCAATCATTTGGCTTTAATATTGATATATACTCTCAAATTTTAAACAACACTGTAGAAGTGCAGAGTATATATTAATATTAAAGCCAAATGATTGCCAAATTATATTGGATTATATTACTTCTACTATTATGAATTAAATGCTAAGTAATTTGGTACTAAAGGCAGGTATTAGGTCCCATCTCTTGCTAAATTTAATAATTATAAATAATTTAGAAGATTCTGGAAGAAAAGAATTGGCCCTAAAGCAAGACTTGAACATGCAGCTCCCATTTACAGTGTAGTTTTGTTGTCAGTTATGCTACCTGGACCTTCATCTGATCTTCACTTTCAGAATTTATTAATTTAAATAAGAGCAATTATTTTATTGTGACATCTTCACAATGCTTGGCTGCAATTTGACCCTTGTATGCAATGTAGAAGATACTATCTCAAACATTAAAACATTTATGTGAATAAAGGGTGCTGAAATTCTATCTTTCTTTTTCCCTGTAAAGCTTACAAGTAAGCTTGAGAATTTCAATATAGCACTTATCATCATTGAAAACTTTTGGATGTAGGACTTTTATTCTTTTAATTTATTATAACAAATGTATTTCAGGATGATGTNTATCATTAAAAATGATTTCTTTATGTTTTACAAACAAAATAAATACATTGAAAAATATAAAAACAAATAAAAATTATACTTTAGGCCGACTGGAATTATTTCGGATAACCGACACTCTACTGTACTATCTATCTCAAATTAGTAGTTTTTTGCTCCTGTATACCATACTTTCCTGTTAACAATACAGTTGTGCCAGTCATCTAACTAACTTCTTTCAGGGGAAAATGTTTGAATTGAAATAACATGACTTCTGGTGCAAACTGGAAGCTGTTTGTATATAGTTAATCAGGCCTCTAGTCCCTAAGCTTTCCATATCTGGCCTTAATTTTCATCTGTTTAACCCCTTACTTGAGATTAAGGAAGAACAGATAGATGAACGACAGTGGGAGTTTATAGGTCTACAATTTTTTCAAACTGCAGTCCAATAACCGTACTCTGTACATAGTTACAAGTTATATAAAGGATTATTTCTATTTTTGCTGTTATCTGTAGAGTATATGTTAGTGTTGGATTATGGACTACTGTAGACTATCTGCACAAAATCACAATAACTGTCATATTATTTATTATTGAATATATGAAATATTAAGTACAACCATTTAATATTTTAAATACATGACAAAAAAACAGATTAAAAAGTGAATCAGAAATATAAGCGTTTTATTTTTAAGTTTACAAAGACCTAATTTTAGAGGACTTGAAAATTCATACAAGGAAAGTTCATAACAAAAAAAGTTTTCTGGTTCACTCTTTAATTAATCTGGCAGTTTCATCATTTATTAAAATGAAAGATGAATGGAAAGACTTTGATTAGTGTATAGCTTACCTGAATTTATTATTGGGATATTAATTTAAATACAATAAAAAAATTCCAAAAATTTTTAAAATACAGCAAGACAATTTATATAACAAATATTTTCTGCTTTTTGAAAGCTATTTTTAGATTATACTTTTAAAGAGTGATAGAAACAGTGTATTTATGTAAAGTTTTAACTTAAATCAATCTATAAATCAAACACATATTTAAACAATGAGATTACATTTATTTGTTTAATTAAATACTTTTCCAAATTTAAGAAAATGCATAGCAAATTACCATTTTGTCTTTTCTCAGTGAAAGATATTTTTAAGCATAAAAATAAATTATACATCTAATTTATTTATGTATTATAAGGCTTTTTTTTTCTTTGTAAGATGTACAGATATGATTATTACTTGAGATGAACATCCTGCTAGTAAAACAGCATATAAATATATTACAGTTATAATACAATACAAAACTTTGAATTATTTTTAATTTTGTAGAGTTTAGATAAGTCATATAAGTACAAGATTACTTTCTATTCTACAATATAAAGATAGATATCATTTTGTGCACAGACTGAAATGATGAACAAACATAGTCTATGAATAACAAACATATGAACTGATAGATTTCTAAATTTGTACTTGATATTAATTGCATTTCTTATTGATATTTATTTGGTACATTGTATCCTTTCCACATACAAATTTGTAATTCTGAAAAAGAAAGTAATCTGAACTATTTTCTTTTCAGAATTTTCAACAAAATAGAATTAAATAATTAAGTTAATAATATTAGACAAATTTTCCGTAATGAATATAATAATTTGAATTAGTTATATATAACTTATATATATATATACCCCCCTATAACACAGTAGGTATGTTCCGTTTTATATGAATTCAGTGTTTTACGAGTCACTTAAATACATGAGCCAATCACAGCCCGGCACATGTGCAGTTTATGGACTATGACTGTTTAAAAGGTTTTCTTCCATAAAATTAATCAATTCTAGACTAATTTGACTCAAAATTTCCAAAACACATATAATTTTTTGGGAATAATCCATATAAACTATGCTAAAAACAAAATTTGTAGGATTACTTACCGAGTGTGCACCGTTCAACGACGCCATTGCTTAAGCTTGTTTTTGTCGTGGAGCGATGCATCGAATGGCGAGTGCATGTTTCCTGATAAGTTATTTTTCTGTGAAAAATTCGCTGAACTTTGGAGACATCATTAATATAAATATAATTTTTATGGCTGTTAAATAATAAATGGTTTTTAGTAGGTCTGCTGCTTGTTTAAACTCAATGATTTGTGCAATATCCGTTATTGGTCTAGATTTGACCAATCCTGTCACGTCACGAGTCGGCAATGATGTTTTACCGTATTATACAAGTCTCTTTTAGCGTGTTTATACGAATACGATCGCAATTTTTTTGCCATGTTATACGAATCTGTATTATATGAACCCGTGTTATAGGGGGATCTACTGTATATGTGGATAGTTCATAGAGATTTTTAGATTATATTCTATATTTTATAAATAATTATTATATTAATTAGGTTTACATGCATCAACAAACCATACAACTTGGAATTACACATCAGACAGTCCACTTACTTTCACCAATTGGAAAGAAGGATTTCCACGAATTTCTAAAGTGGGTTCAATTAAATTAAAATGTGTTCTAGTTAGAGGAACTGGTCATTGGATAAACAGACTTTGTGATTATAATCATAGCTATGTATGTGTTTATTCTCAAAATTTTGTATAAAAATTTGTTAGAGTTATTAGTTATGAATATAAATATAATATTTTTTTTTTTGTTTTCAAGCAAACAATTAGTTAGTTTTGTTTTTTAATTTTAATATTTTTTTTAATAATAATAATAATCTTATATTCAGCACAAATAGTAAGTCAGTTATACTTGCTTGTAGAATCATTTACACAGTTTCAAATGTGATAAATTTTATGTATTAATAATTCCTAAAAATAAGTTTTTAATAAATTAGTGAGTTTCAGATATCATTTTGCTGATGTATTCAATAATTATTCTTAATTGCTTCGATAAGCCAAATTGAAATGATATAAAATTTACAGATATTAATTATTGTAAAACAAAATGATCAGAAGGTGATGTATCGTCAAGCATTATCTTTTTATTTTTATTGAATCTTTATATCTTTATACATCATATGTTAAAACCTTTACTATAGTTTCTTTTCAAATAGATTGTTTCTTTGAATTTCATATTAATAAAATGTTAATATAAAAATTTTACATTCTGTATATTTGTATAAAAATTGTTTTATATAATAGTTATCTCATTTGAATTAGAATAATTACTTTGATGAACAGGTTAAAATATGAAATATGCTTCTGGATAATATATATATAAAAATAAGACTAAATGTTCTAAAAGACCTAAATTTTTTTTTTTATAAAATAATAAAAAGTTACAGTATTAAAATAAATATTTCAAATGTGACAACAAAATATTGAAGTTTATATTTGTTTGCATAACAATAAAATTTTATGAGAATGAAATGCATGGTAAGATGCTTGTGTGAATGTTCTTACTGCATTCTTTTATTTTAAATAATCTGTTCATTTTGGATTTTTAAAGTACTTCTATGAATTTTTTAAAATTTGACTGACTTAAAATTACATAGAGAGAAGCTTATGAAATGACTTTGCTCTGTTGATATTTAACAGAAAAATATTTTTGGAATGTTAAATTAGGTTAAAGTAACAATATCAGAGTTTTAGATTTCAATCATCTATGAATTTTTTTAATAGAACTTATTAAACTTATCTCTGTTCCAACAATAATAATGTATGAATAAATATTACAAGTATTAATAAAAGTGTATCCAAATACTTAATATGTATGTAGAAGTATGTAAATGTCTAAATATGCAACTAATAATAAAAATTATCTTTAAAGACAATTTTAATTTTTTCTACATTTTCAGACTCTCATAAATTCAAAACAGTTTCCTGCAGTAAATATTTTTATTTCACTATAATTAATTAATTTCATTATATTTATAGCATTTAAATTATACCAAACTAGCTGTTACCCGCGACTTCGTCAGCGGAGGTTTTGCAAGCAAACCCCATTTACATCCAATATTTCAATAACCATAGTAATTGTTATATAACACCTACCGCTGAAGAGAATTGCCGAAAATCAAACGAACTATTTTCAATTTGATCAATTTTCTGAAACGTTTACAATCGTTCTATAATCGAACCAATACGCAATAACAAATTCGAATTTAAAAC